GGAAGCTTCAATCATTCGCCAGCTTCTCACTTCTAGCCCTGTGGCCTGTTTTTAACAGGCCACGGACTAGTACCGGTCCGTGGCCCAGGATTTGGGGATCACTGCTTTAGAAGTAAAGGTTATTGTTGTGCACCTGAAGAATAGTAGATTAGCCAAGACTAAAACATTTTTAATTTACACTAATTGCAGTTAAGAGATCTTTAAGAGAAATAACTTGCATCTCATACAAGCCAACATGTTGTCCACTCTTGATTTGAGAAAGTCCTTCTGTAAAAGGTCTTCCGTTGAGTTGCTTACTGCATCTTAGCAGTGCCTGATTCAAGAACAGGAAAATGAAGGTTTATTTATTTATTAAGTTTATATGCCACCCCTCTCACTGATATGACAACTCAAATTCCTATAGGCCGGTACTTTTGCCGTGTTCGTTTTCAATACATCTCAAAATGTGGTTATTTGGGAAAGCTGTGGAACATTATTTGGGAAAGCTGTGGGACTGTGGGACATGCCAGACTAATCTTATTGCATTCTTTGACAAAGTGACAAAATTAGTGGACCAGAGGAATGCTGGAGATATAATTTACTTGGACTTCAGTAAAGCATTTGATAAAGCAGACCATAACCTACTACTAGATAAAGTAGAAAAATGTGGGTTAGACAGCATCACCACCAGATGGATTCGTAACTGGCTGACCAACCGCTCTCAACGTGTAGTCCTCAATGGAACTGCATCTACATGGAGGGAAGTATGCAGTGGAGTACCCCAGGGCTCTGTTTTAGGCCCAGTGCTCTTCATCAATGACTTGGATGAGGGGATAGATAGGGAACTCATCAAATTTGCAGATGACACCAAGCTGGCAGGAATAGCCAACACTCCAGAAGATAGGCTCAAGATACAGAAGGATCTTGACAGACTTGAACATTGGGCGCTATCTAACAAAATGAAATTCAAAAGTGAAAAAAGCAAGGTTCTACATTTAGGGAAGAAAAACAAAATGCACAGGTATCATATATGTGGTACCTTGCTCAATAGTAGTAACTGTGAGAAGGATTTTGGGGTCCTAGTGGACAACCATTTAGATATGACCCAGCAGTGTGCAGCAGCTGCCAAAAAAGCCAACACAGTTCTGGGCTGCATAAAAAGAGGGATAGAATCAAGATCACGTGAAGTGTTAATACCACTTTATAATGCCTTGGTAAGGCCACGCTTGGAATACTGCATTCAGTTTTGGTCGCCACGATGTAAAAAAGATGTTGAGACTCTAGAAAGAGTGCAGAGAAGAGCAACAAAGAAGATTAGGAGACTGGAGGCTAAAACATATGAAGAACGGTTGCAGGAACTGGGCTAGTCTAGTTTAATGAAGAGAAGGACTAGGGAAGACATGATAGCAATGTTCCAATATCTCAGGGTTGCCACAAAGAAGAGGGAGTCAAACTATTCTTCAAAGCACCTGAGGGTAGAACAAGAAGCAACAGGTGGAAACTAATCAAGGAGAGAAGCAATTTAGAACTAAGGAGAAATTTCCTGACAGTTAGAATAATTAATAAGTGGAACAACTTGCCTGCAGAAGTTGTGAATGCCCCAACACTGGAAATTTTTAAGATGATGTTGGATAACCATTTGTCTGAAGTGGTGTAGAGTTTCCTGCCTGGGCAGGGGGTTGGACTAGAAGACCTCCAAGGTCCCTTCCAACTCTGTTATACTAGTCTATTCTATTTAAAAGGCTGATTCCCTAACTTTCCGTGGTCTGCCAGTTTAATAGTCCATGTGTTGAAGTGGTCACACCAAGGCATTATGGGAAATGTTAAAAGTAGCTTGCTTCTTAGCATTGATTGAAGGCTTCACTGAAGGCATTGGTGGTTGATCTCACTGGGCTTCTGAGACCAATTTACCTATTCAAGAATGCAAGTTCTGACAATGGTTTGACACACGTTGCCTTATTAATGCCGTTGAATTATAATTTCATTAGCTCATCCAATATTGCAAACCCTTAGCTAGATAGGGAAGCTGAAAGTGACACTTCTTTCCATCACTCTAAAATCTCCCTGACAGCCCAGTTGTGGGGGAAGAGGGTGGAAGCCACTGGTTGAAGTCCTCTCAGTTGAAGTCTAGGAAACAGAGTCTCACTGGAGAGACGATTGTTCAGCGAAAGACAGAAAGTCTTGGCCAACTTCTCAAAAAAAAAAAAAAAACCCTCCACAAATGAGACTTTCACCAATGTTATCTTCTATTTTGAAATTCACCGCCCAGCAGATATTTTGATGCCAACCTATCAACAAGACAAAAGGCTGGGCCAGCTTATCTACAAAACAAAAGACCTTCATGCTCGGGACATGAAAGGATTAGCCCTTACTTAAGATCCAAACCAGGACAAAGCCATTAAGCCATAATAGAAATTGCCCAAAGCCTCTTCTTTTACATCATCACCCAGCAAGATTCAACCAGGCCTGGGACTCAAGACAACCTACAATGTTACCCCTGCATGGCCCCAGGGGAGTCTGAAAACCAATCAGAGTACTTTTCTTACACAGGAACAGGAAGCTCCAAGGCAGGGCCCAAGAGAGAGTATAAATCTTTCTCCCTCTCTCACCCATGTGCTCTTTTTGCTGTCCACCATTAAACCATCTTTCGAAGCAGTCTCCATGTTTCCAGTGTCTTTCTCCCCACTTGGAACTGAATCCAGATGGATATTTCTTCCAACACAAACATAATTGCTTTCTCCAGTGAATCGTTGCCATTTATTTCTTGGATATGCCTAGAACAAAATGAATTTTTTTTTAAATTTGATTTATATACCGCCCTATCAGATTTGTATATCTGCCCCATATATGGCTGTCGTTTCTTAATAAACATGCCTCGTCAATACAGGGAATAAAAAAGTCACCTATTTTATAGCATAATCTCTAATGTGTAGCTCACTCCATTGTCTTTTTGTGGCACATAATAATCCGAGGACTTCACAATTCCATTTGGCATGGGGCAATCTACGTTTCTTTCCAAAGATCAAAATGCTGATCTCAGTGGAAAGGAAGACGCCAAGAAACCTCAGCCAGCTGGTTTGCGCCATTACCAGGAGTAACATGTTCCTATGGTGAAATGACAGCAGTTATACGGAGTGTTTCCTTTTAACTATGCTTTTCCATTATACTGATAAATGGCTATTTAAATACCTGCAAGTTTAAATTACTCAGCTGGAAAATGCAGCAGGGGGAGGAATCAAAGACAAAGAACTTTTAAATAAATCTCAACCTGCCATATGAAGCAATTTTCATACCAGATGGCAGATGTTTATGATGGTGCTTAAAACAAGTAAAAAAAATTAAATGAATTTCCAAACTTACTTGTTTGAAGTCTAAAAGGGCAGCCTAAAGAAGCTTTGTGGTGTGTTTTCTCCACCCTCCGTTCAATTTGGCAAGGGGTCGATTTAAATATGACACCCACACCCCCAAAATTATAATTTGGCTATAAAGGAAAAGAAGAAGCTTCAAGAACACAAAAGTGCTTTTTTCTTTTATGTATGTGTGTGTGTGTATGTGTGCCTGTAGAATGAGGGCTTTAAATGCCATTTTGTAGGTCAAAATGCCACAAAATGCAGACAACCCAAGAACAGAATATGCAGAGAAATTCTGCACTGGGGAAAAGAGTTTTAATACTGTTGAGTGTGGAAATGTTTTAACAGGTGATTTATTGGTTTATTCAACTTAGATGGCCACTCGTCTCAACAAGTGACTCTTGATGTCTATTCAAATCTTATAAGGAAGAACAGTTGCATGGCTTAAAATAGATAATACCTTGAGCTGACCTCAGTCTGCTATGTAAGTATTTGCCTTTCTCTACGATTCACAAGAATATAATAACTACTTTTAAAATAGTTACCGTATTTTTCGGAGTATAAGATACACCTTTTTCCCCCCTAAGAGGGGGTGAAAATTTAGGTGTGTCTTATACACCGAATGCAGCTCCACCCACACACTGGCCCCCACCCTTTGGCCTCTGCCTCCCAGCAGTTACCTCCTTGCAGCAAGCAGCAAGAAGAAACAGCCTGTTTCAGCTTCAGCACAGCCTAATTAGCACAAGTTGATTGGATCGGCCTCCTGACTCTCAGCTGTCTTGCTCTCCGCTGTTTTGTGCGGGCCTCTGCCGCTTGCTTCAAAGAGGTAAATTGCTGGGAGCAGATTTTTTTTTCCTTGTGCTAATCAAGCTATGCTGAAAACAAAAATGAAAGTAAAGCAGGCTGTTTGCTGTTTGCTGCAATGAGGCAAAATTGCTGGGAGGCAGAAGCAGATTTCTTTTTCTTGTTTTCTTCACCAAAAAAGGTAGGTGCGTCTTATAGTCCAGAACATCTTATACTCTGAAAAATACGGTATATAGGCATATAGATGTATATGTAGATTTGAAACAAGCTCAACTCTTGGTTATTGCACCATAAAGTTTCACAAAAATAGCCAGATATTGCCTTCTTCTGAAATTCTTTTTAATTACAGGTAGTCCTCGACTTACAACAGTTCAAAATTACGTCATTGAAAAAAAAGTGACTTATCACCGTTATTCACACTTATGATCATCGCAGCATTCCCATGGTCATGTGATCAAAATTCAGATGCTTGGGAACTGACTCATATTTACAACGGCTACAGTGTCCAGGGGTCATAGGATCCACTTTCGCGACCTTCTGATAAGCAAAGTCATTGGGGAAACCAGTTTCACTTAGCGACCGTGTTACTAATTTACCAACTGCAGTGATTCACTTAAAAACTATGGCAAGAAAAGTCATAAAATGGAGCAAAAGTCACTGAACAAATGTCTCACTTAGCAACAGAAATTTTGGGCTCGATTGTGGTCGTAAGTTGAGGACTACCTCTCTTTTCTTCTGCAGATAAGAGCCTTATGTGGTTGCACGCACAGCGCACGAGGAAGAAGCCATGCATTAGTGCGGCTAGCACATTGTGAAGCGCGCAAAGCGCATACCTGTTCAGCAGTCAGTGAGTAAAAGGTTCGCCACTACTGCTCTGTATACTGGGCCATCTGCCAGGTAAAAAAATTAAGATGGCCATGACAATCGGATTGATGCTCTGCCTGTTTTTATTATCTGTGTCCATAAGCTGCCTGGGAAAGCCAAGGGAAATCATCAAAACCATAAAAAAGTGAAAGTTATAATATTTTGGACATGTGATCAGAGGTGGGATTCAGCCGGTTCAGACCGATTTGGGCGAACCGGATGCTAATTTCACATCTGGTTCGCCGAACTGGTAGTTGCAAGGACTGGCTGGCCTGCCCACACCGCCCCTCCCAGGAGTCTCCACACAGCTCGTTTTGGATGCGAGGTAAGTGCAGGGCCCACATGGAGGCTTTGGGAGGGCGAAAAATGGGCCTCCTGGAAGCTCCGGAAGTCTGGAAACAGGCCTGTTTCTGGCCTCCAAACGGCCTCTGGAGCCTGGGGGAGGTTGTTTTCGCTCTCCCGGAGGCTTGAAGAGAGGGTGCCTGGGGAGGGTGGGGAGGGTGAAAACGCCTCCCCCCGCCCCCGTGTTGCAGGAGGCCAAGTAGGCCACACCACCATGGCCATGCCCACCCAGCAACCGGTTGCTAAAATTTTTCAATCCCACCTTTGCCTGTGATGCAACACCCAGAGAAATACGGCATACTTCACTTAATCCTCCAGGGAAAGATTGAAGGCAAACGAGATCCAGGCAGAAGAAGGATATCATGGCTTCAAAATCTAAGGGATTGATTTAGACAAAACTCAGCAGCACTTTTTCGGGCAACTGTTGATAAAAATAGGATCGCCAACATGATCGCCAACGTCCGATGACGGATATAGCACAACAAGAAGAAGAAGACATGTTGCTTCCAAAAGGTTCCATGTTCACATCCTAATTCGTCCACTTAAAAGGACCAACTAGCAAATGTCAAGAGTTTGGCTGATCTCCCAAAGCCAAAACGAGCTTTTGGCTGATCTCCAAAAGCAAACAGGCCTCGGGGCTACAGGCAAAATGGGGAAATTGGGAGGAGAAAAGATTTTGAAAGAAATTGTAAGCAAACCCCTTGTATACTGTTGCCAGTAAGTAAGTAGTAGAAGTAAATCTCCATGAGGCACAAAGAGACACGGTCATCTGGAGGAAGACTGTACTCAGGGGTGCGCTTCAAAAATTGTAACTAGGGGTTCTATGCCCGGTTGCTAGGTGGGAATGTCCATGGTGGGCGTGGCCTAGTTGGCTTCCTGCACCATGGCGGGGGTGGGATTTGCCCTCCCCAGGCTCCAGAAGCTTTCTTTGAGCCTCTGGGAAGGCAAAAACAACCTCCCCAGGCTCCGGAGGCCCTCTGAAGGCAGGAAACGGGCCCATTTCTGGCCTTCCCAAACTTCTGGTAGGCCCATTTTTCGCCCTCCCCAAGCCTCCATGCGCGCCCTGCACTTACCTGCATTCAAACGGGCCACGTGGGGACTCCTGGGAGGGGAGGGGTGGGCAGGGCCAGCCAGGAGTAGGATTTGGGCGTTCTCCGAACTGCACAGAACCTTAGCTAGAGGTTCTCCCGAACCTCTACGAACCCCCAGCAGCCCATCCCTGACTGTACTGTACATCACTTAGCAGAAGGTAGCGAAGATCTCAGCTTGACAACCTGGAGGTAGCCACTGCCGGTCAGTGGAACCAATATGAGGTTACATCAATCAACTATCTTACATAAAACTTCCATGTGGCTGGATTAGTAAATTGTAACTCTGGAGCAAAATATTTGTTTCATGTGGAAACTTTCTACATTAGTACATCACTGAACAAATCAACAAACTTGATATCTTGGTGTCATGACATTGTTAATATTATTAGGTCATATTGGTTAGCAAAGTGGAAATAGTCAAAAGATCTAAAATAGGCCCAGTTCCAAATGGCAAAATCTCTTGCCCATTTGGTGCCCTCTAGGTGTGTTGCGCTGTAACGGGCTATGAGAGTAACCTTGGGGGACAGGAAGAAGATATGCAGCTAGGACAATGGTCAGATAAGGGATATCTCAGTCCACATTAGCTTTAGGACTGGTGAAACCATCTCAGAAGGGACCCTCCCAAACTCTCCAGAAAATAAAGGCAAGCAAGGAGAGAGGTGCAAGATTCTGTGGCTGTAGCTTTACAATAAAGGTAGTATTGCTACTCATGGTGTTGATTTCCTGTCTGAACTAGCTAAGGACAAAATGTGTGCCCAACATATCCTGAGAACACAAATATGAAAGTTGTGCATAGATTGGATTAGAGCAGAGGTCTTCAAACTTGGCAGCTTTAAGACTTGTGGACTTCAACTCCCAGAATTCACCAGCCAGCTGTGGGACTTGGTCCACAAGTCTTAAGGCTGCCAAGTTTGGGGACTCCTGGATTAGAGGATATATGCAGCTCATGAAGGACTAATGATATAAAGTGACATTGAACAGATTGCTCTGTTTGCAATAAGAATCATGGCAGTAATAGAAGGAAGCTTAGACTTGGTTCTGTAGATAAATCGAAGTATAGGCTGGTCTGTCCCAATGCTGTTAATACCACTTTATAATGCCTTGGTAAGGCCACACTTGGAATATTGCATTCAGTTTTGGTCGCCACGATGTAAAAGAGATGTTGAGACTCTAGAAAGTGTGCAGAGAAGAGCAACAATGATGATTAGGGGACTGGAGGCTAAAATATACGAAGAATGGTTGCAGGAACTGGATATGTCTAGTTTAATAAAAAGGACTAGGGGAGACATGATAGCAGTGTTCCAATATCTCAGGGGCTGCCACAAAGAAGAGGGAATCAAGCTATTCTTCAAAGCCCCTGAGGATAGGACAAGAAGCAATGGGTGGAAACTAATCAAGGAGAGAAGCAACTTAGAACTAAGGAGAAATTTCCTGACAGAACAATTAATCAGTGGAACAACTTGCCTGCAGAAGTTGTGAATGCTCCAACACTGGAAGTTTTAAGAAGATGTTGTATAACCATTTGTCTGAAGTGGTGTAGGGTTTCCTGCCTAAGCAGGGGGTTGGACTAGAAGACCTCCAAGGCCCCTTCCAACTCTGTTATTCTATTCTATTCTAAATGCTGGTATGTCACTAACTTTAGCTGCACAAGTGGATATTGTTGGATATTCATAGAATCTGTACAATGCAAAATATCTTGAATAAACTAGTACTATCCTCTAGTGTTGAAAGTCAACTGGGATGCCTGGTCTAGAAGTTTGTTAGAGAAAGTGTCAAGGTTGCACAATTTCATACATCAGGTAGGCGAATGATCTAAACTCCTCCTCTAGTTCCTTACTTCATGTCAGATAATGACCCGGAAGCCTCATCTTCTGGTCAAGACAGCGTCTTCATTGAAACCATGGTTGAATGTAGGGAACCACCCGCAAAATGATATACGAGCAACCAGTTTCATATTGGCTCTGCTGAAAAATCACATAAATTGCAGCCTTGGTACAATCAATGGTTCTGCAGAGGAGAAGGGCAAATTAGACTCAACTGGAATGGTGTGGATTACATTGAAGGCCCTGAATCATTTCCAAGGTGATATGAGATGCAAACCCCCAGTTCCAAGCACTAGGTCACATTTTTTAAATCTCACCCTCCCAGAAACGGATCTTAAGCCATCAAGCTAGATTTGTAGATCATAATTAGCGAGGAGGAGGCGATGGAGGAGGACGCCTGTTTATTAGGCAAACATAAGCAATCCTTTTGCCCTCCACAATGGAGATTCATTGACGAAACAATGAAGTGCGCGCAACACCCTTCCTAAATAAAGTTTCACCAATAATGCTGTATGTTAATGGAGCTATTTCATTGTTAACGTGACTGACTGCTTATCGATTCTTCCAGTAATCCAGCGACGGCTTCAGAGTACAATTTCATTTGGAAGAGCCACAGGCCCAACCTCTCTGCTCAATTACAACTTTCAGAAGGTTGGATCGATAAAATTTAAATTGCTTATGGTAATCACAACTTCAAATCATTGCGATCAGCATAAGCAATCCGCTGACCCCAGCTAAGCTCCTAAATTGAAACGGGTAATGAGTGGTCATTTAGTTTGGATCCATTCATATTATTTGGAAGGCAGGTGATGAACAATTAAAGATTAGCCACTCTTTTGCCAATCCAGCATTCCCATCTGAGTTTCCAAAGTACTAATACGCATTTACCCGGAGGTATGAGCTTTTGCACTTCCTTAATGTGTATTCTGTATGAATAAGCAATTATATTTTCTATTAAACTATTTCAGTGTAATTGAATTAGCAACTATAATATTGCTAGGGCAAGCGGAAACCTTTCCTAGGGAAAAATTAAACAAGATTGGGTAATTCAAATTAAAGGATCGGGTAGGACGAGGGGAAAAAATGTGACCATTAAGGACAAATTGCACCCTCACCAAATGACAATTAAGCAGTATATTGCTTTACAATATACATATCCTAATACTTCAGGGAGCTTGGGTGGTTCATAAAGACATTTCCTATTTCATTATCAAATTCTACTCGTACTAATGAAAATTTAATCATTTGTTTTCTTTGACAAAGTAGGTTGCACATTTAAACCGAGATAGCCTGCAGATTTCATTTTATGATACATACTAACCTGGAGATTACATTTTAATAAATCATTGACAATAAATCTTCGTTGATGTTGCACAAGGCTTTACACGGGAAGTTGAGGAGGGAGAAAAGACGAGGGAATATATTAAGGGAAATGATCAATGAAAATCTCTTTATGCCAATAAAAGAACAGACTGTCTATCCCAAATGCAAACTTTGTTGCCAAGAAAAAGGGCCCAAAACCTTAATTTAAAGTAGATGGAGGCAAGACAAATATCAATAAAATCGTTAGGCAGAAATGGGATTGAATCACAGTTATTCATATTCACACAAGACCTTTAGCAAATAGAGAAGACCCTTCTGCAATTTAAAACTCTTGGCTAAATTCTAAAGTCCTCCTTATTCAAGATTAGACCTGGCGGTGAATTGTTAAAAAATGGATTTTCTGAATATTTTCATTAATAAAAGTGCCAAGTTAGTTTTCTCCTTTAGTTTCTATAATGGCTATTCATGCATATTTGGATTCTTTATGGATGTTACATTAAAAGATTCACAAATCCAATTTGAATTACAATCTAAATGCAACCTTTCCTTGTGCAAAAGTCTCAGTATATTTAATGCAATTCCCTCCTGTTTAAAATGTTTCCAGCAAGTAGCAATCAAATCTATTTCCACCTGGATATGAACCTTTTTTTTTTGATTCTCCAGCTGTGTTGAATACCATTCTCCTGGCAATATACATTGAATGCCACCTGGATAACATCAAAACAAAATTATCATCCTAATGTCCCAGAATATTAACTTGGTTTGCTTATTGCTATCATTTGATGAGTCACTGTCCCCAGAGAAACAATCACGGCAAAGCTAAACTAAATGATTGCTTTTACTGGCAACGTGCAACAGGATGATCAATAGATTCAGTGCAACTTTGGTAGACATAAAATAATTTCAATATCAAGTTCTGAATCAAGAGCTATTTTCACTACAGTGTAGTAGATTCAGTAATGGCGAAATTTTATATTCTAGAAATGGGCACCCAGTCATCCATTGACTATCTAGTGAACCATCACATTGGAGCAGAGGTGGGTTTCAGCAGGTTCTGACCAGTTCTGCAGAACCGGTGGTGGAATTTTTGAGTAGTTCGGAGAACCGGTAGTAAAAGTTCTGACTGGCACTGCCCAATCTATTCTCTGCCTCCCAAGTCCCAGCTGATCAGAAGGAAATGGGGATTTTGCAGTAATCTTCCCCTGGAGTGGGGTGGGAATGGAGATTTTACAGTATCCTACCCATGCCACGCCCACCAAGCCACACCCACCAAGCCATGCCACACCTACCAAACCACACCCACAGAACCAGTAGTAACAATTTTTTAAACCCACCACTGCATTGGAGGACTTTGATCCAACAAATGCTAATTTTGGTGTAATACATACCAAGATTGTATCTTCATTTATATTTTCCTGCAGCTATTTAGTTTGTGGGACTGTTGGATCCCACCAGATTCTTTCACCAGATTCTGCAACCATTCTTGCCACCAGATCAGGTTCTTCCTCCTCCAAAGGTTGATCTTTGCTATTGTTCACTCATATTTTTCTCCAATCCATTTGTTTCTGAAATACAATAGAAAAACAACCATTTGCAATGGGCATAGATGGAAAGGTTTTATTTAATTATTTAGCAGTTTGTTGCCAAAGTAATAGCTTGGATCAGAAACTCTATAGCAACCATCAGAAGAGTATTGCAGTACTTCAGTATTTATTTGTTCATCCATCCATCCAGCCAGCCAGCCAGCCAGCCAGCCACCCACCCATCCACCCATTCATCCATCCATCCATTCAATTTCCAAAGTGATGGTTTCACATCTTTGTCCATTTATTTTTGCAGATTTTTCCAAACTGATGTACCATTATTCCCAGGCAACAAGACCTTTTGTCTTGATGAAAAGTATAGTCCACAATATCTGGAAAGAATGACGTTAAGGATAACTTAGTAAAAGAAAGGAAGTTGGTACACAAGACAGACCCTGCAAAAAATAACTATTACAGATAGTCCTTGGTTTACAACCACAATTGAGACTAGAATTTTGGTCATAAACCGTTGTGGTCATAAATTCAGTCGCCATGTGACTGGACTCAATTTTACAATCATTTTTACAATGGTGATTAAGCAAATCATTGCAGTTGTTAAGCAAATCAAACAATCATTAAGCAAATCATGCGATCATAAGTTTGAATCCAGCTTATCCAATGAGTATTTTTTCCCTGTATTGGTGGGATTTCGTGACCGCTGCAACTGATTGTAATGCAGGCTGGCTGCCTTAGCCCCTGAAATGGAGTCATCATGGTGCCAGAGTTGCAACTTTGTGGACAGGTTCTAAGTCACTTTTTTCAAATCCATCATAACTTTGAGTGGTCCATTAAGTAACCAGTCGTAAATCGAGGACTACCTATATACATGGATAACAATATATAGTTATTTTATCTGCACTTTTTCACAATTAGTCTATCATTAAATAAGTAAGGTTCTACATTTAGGCAAGAAAAACAAAATGCACAGGTACAGTATATGTGGTACCTTGCTCAATAGTGGTGACTGTGAGAGGGATCTTGGAGTCCTAGTGGACAACCATTTAAATATGAGCCAGCAGTGTGCATCAGCTGCCAAAAAGCCAACACAGTTCTAGGCTGCATAAACAGAGGGATAGAATCAAGATCACGTGAAGTGTTAATATCACTTTATAATGCCTTGGTCAGGCCACACTTGGAATACTGCAACCGGTTTTGGTCGCAGAAGAAGAAGCAATGGGTGGAAACTAATCAAGGAGAGAAGCAACCTAGAACTAAGGAGAAATTTCCTGACAGTTAGAACAATGAATCAGTGGAACAACTTGCCTCCAGAAGTTGTGAATGCGCCAACACTGGAAGGTTTTAAGAAGATGTTGGATAACCACTTGTCTGAAGTGGTGTAGGATTTCCTGCCTAGGCAGGGGGTTGGACTAGAAGACCTCCAAGGTCCCTTCCAACTCTGTTATTCTGTTATTAACAATAACAGGCTTGGTCCTCCCTGTGTTAGTTTGGATTATGGAACAGTTTCTTTCTCCTCCAAAGCTTGATCTGCTTCTCCCAGCTTCAGTTGGGCCTCTTTGCATCAGTCGTGCCTTGACAAACAGTACCCCAGAATCAATAACCTTGCATAAACATGCCTAAGCTAGCTGGCTTTCAACTTTACTGAAATTCTCATTTTGTCAGCTGCAACTTCTCTATGAGCATAGCAGAAAAAGTTCATGCAAATATTTTTATGCCCTAACCTACACACATCTCTTAGGTATGTCACCTTCCTCTTTATGTCTATTCTTGCATATACTATTTAGTAATTCATTATTCTATTTATATCCCACATGTTCCCTGAAATGTCAAAGAGGTAATTTACTTACTTACAGGATTTACAGGCTGCTCCAATCCACTAACTCTCAGCAAAAGTAAGGCTCCCTGGATTCGTAGTTTGGGATTAGAAGCAGATAAATAATCAAAATTAAATTCTATAACCATAGAATAACCACATAAAAACCAGGAAACAACATTTAAACCCCCTCCTCCCCAAGTTTTGCTATGCTGGCTCTTTATGGTGGGGTAAATAAGTGCAAAACACTAGAAGCATTCCTCAAGATCACTTAATAAAGATAAAGATCAGAGGTGGTATTCAGCCAGTTCACACCGGTTTGCGCGAACCATTGGTGGAAATTTGGCCAAGGTCGCCGAACTGGTAGTAATGGCCAGCTAGCCACAGCCCCGAACCAGTCCCCTGGTTGCCACTCGCTTGCCCCGCCCTCCATGTTTGTCACCGCCATGTTCTTCTCACACGCGCATCCCATTGCCTTGCAAGTCCAATGGGATGCGCTTGCACGAAGAACATGGCGGAACATGAAGACCAGCTGCCCGGCACACCGGAACTCAGGAAGAGCAACAGGCGACGGCTTGCGTGCCCGGAGAGATGGCTCTGCGTGCCACTTCCGGTACACATGCCATAGGTTCGCCATTACGGGTATAGGAAAATAAAATCTGTACCTGCAAAGATAGAATTACAACAGGAAGGTGAAGACGTCTGGAGACGGGACAGCTCGAGACAGCAAAGGATGAGATGAATTTTAAGCATTTGTGAACTGAAAGGGATTGGAGTGTGACACGTTTAATCAGACAATCAAAGTTTACTACTCTGGAGACAAAAAATAAAGAATGCTTTCAGAATCAGAAAAGATGCAGCAAAAATAGTACACCGGTACAATGCAATCATTGACCAAATAACATTAATTAGACATCATGTATAACCCTTAACGTGATGGTTATCCGAGTTTATGCTCCAATCACTGATGCAGAAGAAGAAGAGGTTGACAAGTTTTATGATGAAGACTAATTTGAAATCGACAGAGCATGCAGGCAAGATGTGTTGTTTATGACTGGAGACTGGTGTGTCAAAGTTGGAAATAGTTATGAGGAAAATGTTAGTTGGACTGTACGGTATAGGGACTGTGAACTCAGAAGGAGAGTCCAGCCTAGAACTGATATGCTAAAAAAAAATGGGGAAAACAATAACTCATTCAAGAAACAGTAGACATGTCAACATTTAAGATACTAAGATACTTTAGGAGATATTCCTATTTACAACTCTAGTAATAGAAGAAGGAATTAAATTTAATCCAATTTTATTATTTTTACAAATCACCCGAGGTAGCGAGAGCGTATTCAACACACCTGCCTCCTCCTATTTTCTGTGCGGTGAGTTGGGCTGAGAGAGAATGACTGGCCCAAAGTCACCCAGACGGTTTTCATGCCTAAGGTGGGACTAGAACTCATAGTCTCCTGGTGATTGGCCCAAAGTCACCCTGCCAGCTGTCATTCCTAAGGCTGGACTAGAACGCATCATCTCCTGGTGATTGGCCCAAAGTCACCCAGCCGGTTTTCATGCCTAAGGCGGGACTAGAACGCATCGTCTCCTGGTGATTGGCCCAAAGTCACCCCGCCGCTGTCATGTCTAAGGCGGGACTAGAACTCATCGTCTCCTAGTGATTGACCCAAAGTCACCCAGCTGGCTTTCATGCTTAAGGCGGGACTATAACGCATCGTCTCCTGCTGATTGGCCCAAAGTCACCCCGCCGGCTTTCATGCCTAAAGGGGGACTTGAACTCATGGTCTCTTGCTTTCTAGCCCACTGCCTTAATCACTAGACCAAACTGGCTCTTAAAATTGACGAAAAGCAAGGGATGACACCGGTGAATATCAAAGTTCTTGATTACAGATTCCACAGGGGTGGGACATCCACATCTGCATAGCATGGCGTCCCAGTCAAACCTTTCCCCCTTTGTGTATACACACTTGCACAAAAGGCTACCTGGGTGATTTTTCCCTCCCCAGTCTGTCTTTCATGGGTAATGGAAGACTGGTGAGGCCTATCAATCTTTCATGCACCCTTCTCCCCTATTCTCACCCCCTCCTCCCATTTATACTGATGCTTGATAGCCATTCTTGCTTTGCAATACAAATGACATAATTACTCGGTTTTGTCTGGAGGCGGTCCAGTTTCTGAGTTCATTTTTTAAATGCAAATATTTTAAGTATTTTATCCTAAAATGGCAAATGCAAAAAGGGTAGCTCGAGACTAAGACGGACAGCCTATCACCCCAAATAAATATGGTGCAAGTAATGGAACTTGCATTCCAACAGCATATGGCAAGTTAAATTGATTACTTATTGAAATATGTTAACATAGTATAATGGGGAAGTGCCGGAGTCAGATGGGCAATAATCTTGCATGAATCACTGGAAAGAACCTGACCAGTTTTATTAATAACAAATAATGAAGCAATAAAGTATCTTGTTTCTCGGGAGTTATACAGGAACTAATCTATAGGCACCTAGAAATTTACACACCTGGCCTGATGATTCTTAGAGCCCACACATGCTCTCAATTGGCAAAGCTGACTAGATTAATGAGAACATCTGGAGAAAAAGAGCCTTTCTAGTTTAAAGACTGAGCTTTAAACTTCGCAGTCCAAGGGAAGTTTAAAAAAAGCCTTGGGAAATTTAGAAAAATTAGAAAAAAGCCTTCTGCTAGCAGGCTGTTTAAAAAATATATTATGATCAAGGTTTGAAAAGTTCTTCTGACCATCTCTTAACTCCTTTCCTGAGATGTTTTACTGGGGGAGGATGGGAAGTAAGCAAGTTAATGGAAACCAGACTTTATCTGTAACTAGAGTGGATTACTTTGGGGAGAAGATCTAAATCTGTTTTCAGAAGATTCTATAGCGAGCTTCTTGTAGATCCCTATCTACAGACTCAAATCAACCTGGCCACCAAGAGAAAGAAGAGTAAGATCCAAGGTCGGTCCCTTTAAACCATCTCCACTCGATCCTCTCCAAAAATTATTTCTAACTTGGCCAAGATAGCAATAGCACTTAGACCAGGGGTCCTCAAACTACAGCCTTCGGGCTAGATATGGCCCCCCCACCAAAGGCATTAATCCGGCCAATGGGACACGAGGCTGCCCCGCCCACATCGCCCCACCTACCCACCAGCCTCCACCTGCCTTCTGGAAGCTGAGAAGGCGGACC